CAGTTACCCCAAGACCAAGGAGATAGCTGGGTAGGTAAAGCATACAAGCATGAGGACCCGAGTTCAGATTCCCAGCACCCACATAGAGCTGGACATGGTGGTGCATGTTATAAAGAAGGTGGAGACAGACGAACCCCGGAGGCTCGCTGGACACCTTGCCTAGCCTACAGGGCAAATTCCAGCTTCAGTGAGAGACCCTGCTCCCCAAAGTAAGGTAGATCTGGGTGTTGTGGCCCATGCCTCCTCTCAGCACTCAGGAGGCAGAGGCAGGAAGATCTCTGTGAGTGTGAGGCCAGCCTGGTCTACAGAGCAACTTCTAGGACAGCCAGAGCTACACAGAGAAATAGAGAAACCCTGTTTTGAAAAACCAAAAACCAAAACAAAACAAAAATTTAAAAAGGTAAGGTAGAGAAAAATTGAGGGGGACACCCGTTGTCAACTTCTGGTTCATACACACCCCTAAACTCCCCCTGCCCCCCATCCCAATTTCATAGAGACAATCTGGAAGTGCTTTAACTATACTGTCCTCAGACATATGTGGGGGTCATGAGTTAACCTATAAAGAATATCTGAGGGCCAGGATTGGGAAAAGCAGGTTGGGGAAAGACTACTTTATGATTTACCACAGCCTATACGCCTCCCTCAGACACACACAGCGGGTGGGTGATTAACCTATTTAATGAGTGTCATGGCTTCAGGAAGAGAGAGCAGAGGGGCCAGCATTCACATGGACCCCTCTGTTGGGCTCTCTGCTGCAAGGTGGGCAGAGTACTCTGAAGTGCTTCTTTAGTTACAGGCACGATGTTGGGTGCTCCAGGCTGGAGCCTCCCACCTGGTTGGCAGCCTCGGGGCTCTCTTGACAGGGCTGTGCATACCAGCACCCAGCATTCTACCAGAACCCTTTCCAGCTTCCTTGTTTATTCCCCCACGTGGCTTGTTCACATGTGGGGCAGGCAGGGAGCACGTGGCAGTGGGTGGTTCTTAGCAGCTACTCACTGGACAGATCCCTAGGAGCCCTTCAACCAAGGAGCAGAAGGCACTTTCCAGAAAGCCCAGCTGCTAGGTAAGCCTGGTTCTGGGTAGCTGTCCATCTACCCCTGCTTGGCCTTGGCAACCTCTGGGAGCATCCCACCATGTTCTGGTCTCTTTGAGCATGCCTATCTGATATGTTTTTCCAGGGTTCATCCCTGGGGTAGCCAAGAGCATGAGGCTGCCACGGGGAAGGCAGAAAAACAAGCAGGAATTCCAAGCAGCTGTTCCCGCAGGACTGGAGCTCCCTGGGCTGCCCAGGGCCTGGCCAGCTGTCAGGTGTAGGGGTTTGGTGCAATCTGGGATCTCCTGCTCCCGGCGAAGACCCTCCGGGAAATAGCATTGATAAATCATGGACAGGTTGTTTAGATCATGATCAGGCTATGTATGCTGCAACTGTGGACACCCTTCCCCACTGAGAATGGGACCTCGAGAGTTAACCGGCCACCCTGCACGCCTCCTCCAGGAGGTATCAATTAGTGCGATGTTTACGAGAAACATTTTGGCAGCTATCAGGTTCTCCGATGCACCCATGTTTTTATTATTATTATCACAATTACTATTATATGTGGTGCTGAGGATGGAACCCAGAGCTTTATACATGCTAAGTAAACATTCTGCCACTCGCTATATGGCCATGACCCTGGTACTCGTGCCTTCTTTGCCCCTTGGAGACAGAATCTTGCTCTGTAGCCCAGGCTAGCCTGGAGTTCATGATCCTTCTGCCTCGGCCTCCCAAGTGCTAGGTTATAGGCATGTGCCACCCCATTCGGCTCACATCTGTACTTTGATCCAGCAATTCCATTCCCAGGGCTTCAGGACTTAGAAGTGGGTGTGTGACAGTGACAGCCTTGACTGCCATGAAATAACTAGAGAGAACTCGATCTCCATCTGTGGAGTCCCAGATAAAAAATAACTTCAACCTATCAGAGTACTCTGCCGCTGAGAAAACAGAATAAAAACATTCTAGCAAGGTATGGTGGCCCATGTCTGTAATCCCACTACACAGGACCCTGAGGTAGGAGGATTGTCACAAGTTTAAGGCCAACCTGGGCTACCCAGCCACAACCCAGCTCCAAAAACAAAAATAAAAGCCTGAGTTCCATTATTAAGTGAAGAAAGCAAGATTCAGATCTCTCTCTCTCTCTCTCTCTCTCTCTCTCTCTCTCTCTCTCTCTCTGTGCATGTGGTTTGTATGTGGTCACATCCATGAGATGTCTGTGGGTAGGATATGGTAACCTAAACAGCAGAGGCCTTTAAGGGAGCAGAGCTCACTATGAAGCCGCAGGACTGGAAAGAAAAGGGTTCCCTCCTGTTCAGTATAGAACTGTGTGCAGGGTGTCCCACATGACAGCTAGTACTCTGCCTTCCCATTAAATAGCTTTGTGTGTCTCTCTCTCTGTGTGTGCGCACACGTGTGCACATATGTGCGTGGAGTTCAGAGGGTCTCAGGGTTCACATTCAGGCCAGCAGGCTTGGCAGCCAGGACTTTTACTCACTGAATCATCTCACTGGTCTTTATTTTCCATTTTAATTTTGGTGTAAGAGGCCTCCCTAGCTGAAAATTGACAGGCAAAATTGTGAAATTGTGCCAGGCCTCCTACCATGTATAAAGACAGACACAAATGGATGGAAAGCCTAAAACTTAGAAAGCTCTTAGAACAGATGAACTTAGGCTTGTGTGATCAGGAGCTAGGGATTGCTCTCTCAAGCATAGCACCAAAAGTGTGGGTGCGGAAAATTGATGAATTGTGTAATTTTAAACTTTTGGGGTTTTGTTTATTTTTTTTTTTTTGGTTGGTTTTTCAAGACAGGGTTTCTCTGTAGACCAGGCTGGCCTTGAACTCACAGAGATCCGCCTGCCTCTGCCTCCTGAGTGCTGGGATTAAAGCCATGTGCCACCACTGCCCAGCAACTTTTGTTTTTTTTTTTTTTTTTTAAAGACACCATTAAAGAAACGAAGAAAAGGGGAATGGAGAGATGGCTCGGTGGTTAAGAGCACTCAGGACTCTTGCAGAAAACTGGGTTTGGCTCCCAGCATCCAAACTGAGAGGCTCACAGCTGCCTGTAACTCCAGCTCCAGAGGTTCTGACTCTCTTCTGTCCTGCGCGGGCACTGTGGGCATGTGGTGCACATATAAACACTCAGGAACACACATAAAATAAAAATAAGAAAGTCATAAAAGAAGAAAGAAAACTAGACACCAAATGTATGTGTACTGAGAGAGTAAGCTGCGTGACAGCCAGCAAGATGCCTGGCCAGGAGCTGGGTGTGGCGGTGCCCACCTTTTATCTCAGCACTCTGGAGGCAGAGACTGGGGGCCTCAGAGTTGTAGACCATCCTGGTCTACAGAGAGAGTTCCAGGGCAGCCGGGGCTATCCTGACACAGAGAAACCCTGTCTCAGAAAACAAACAAAACATCCTAGCTGTCTGCTGCCAAAGAGTGTGGCCCACAGGAGTTCTTTGTGATGGGACCCTAAAACTGTGAGGAGACAAGTTTTCCCCTCAAGGGAGGGGAGGCGAGGAAGGTGAGGGTTAGGAAGGGAGAGGGGTAGGCAGGAAGGCTGGCTGCAGAACGACAGAGCCATTTTGCAAATTGTATATGTACTAAAGGATTTCACACCACAAGTGGGCATGCTTGTGTGTGTGAGCATGCGTGTGCCTGCACGTGAACACACCTGTGTATAAACTCAAGACTGAGATAACCTGGTTGACTTGGAAGACGGAGCGGGGCTGCAACTCTAGCTGCCATTCTTCGGTAAAGTTCTCGCCTAACGTGCACCAGGCCTCAGTTTCCATCCCCACCACCATGTTAGAAAGAATTGTCAGCGCTCCACGATCCATCTCCCTGGCCACAGCCGTTCCTTCCAGGGACAGCTACTGAGCCATGGGGCACTCATGCGCCTGGAGCACTAGTAAGATGCAGATTCAGGCCACCTGTAAGGCGGCCGGCCATAACACAACCGTGATGTCACTAGGGGCTCTGGAGCCTCCAAAACACTCAGTGCCCTGTGGATGGGCACGGGACACAATGAGGCCACTTTAGAAGAAGCTGGTTTTGACTTTGTTAAAAGGTGGATGGAGTTTAACAGTATCTACCTCCCAAGTGTATGACTCTGTGGGCAGAAAGCATTTATCATCCAGAACAGGCAAATCCACAGAGGCAGGGGAGCAGCACGGAAAGAGGGGAGACCAGGTAGGGGGGGAGGAGGGGAATCTTTGTGAACGTTTATTCATCCCGTGTGGATACATACCACAGTACTGGCATAGAGGTCAGAGGACATGGCTGAATTCCACAGTGCTTGGTAGCCCAGCGGCAGAGCGCTTGCCTGGCATGCACAAAGTCCTGGGTCCAATTCCCAGCACCGCATAAGCTAGGTGCAGTAGCACTTGGGAGGTGGGGCGTCAGGATCCTCATCTGTGTAATACGTTTGACATCAGTCTAGGCTGCGCATGACCCTGTCTTAAAAAAACAGACAAAAACCCCTGAAGAATTTTGACTCCCTTAGAAGAGCATGATTTTGATGAACCGCGTGACTCTGGCTGGGTTCTTGGTTGCTTGCTGTCTATGTGTCTCACCTGCACATACAGGCAGTAACGATAGGCCTGCTTTGGAGAGGATATTGGACCCAGGATAACAGATTCGCATTGCATTCGGTGTGTGTTTCCCTCGTGCCCTCCTTTAAATCATCTGTCAGCCAGATTTCTGAGACAGATGTCAGCAAAACCCATGGGGAGGGGGGGTGGCAGGGGTGGAGCTCAGATCCAGGTCCCTGGGGGGCCCAGAAACCCTTGAGTCAGAATGTCACTTCGAAGCCTCAGCCTGGACTCACACTGCAGCTTCCTGTTAGTACGAGTGGGCTTGTCCAGCTAGGTGTGACTTCTGTGGGCTCTGTCCTCACCACGCTGGCCTTATCAGCCATCCCCCTGCCCACAGCTCTTGTAACCTCCTCCTCCCTCTTCCCTTGCAGCCTGAGTGCTCCTCAGAGTGGAAACGCCTTCCGGATCTTCGCTGTCAGGCAGTGAAGAATGTGGAGACCCGGGGAGAAGGGGCCGTCATCTACCGGGTTTGGGGTCCTGCTTTCTATCTGTACTTTGTCCTTTTGGGGTGGGGGTGGGGTTACAGAGAGTCAGGAATCTTTCTTTCTGTGTCATCGAATGCCCTGTCCCTTTGTGGCCTCTAGCGAGGGTAACGTAGCGTTGTCAGTTTGTGAGCAGAATGCCGTGGAGTCTCGGGTGGACAACCAATGCCCAGACTGACCAGGCTGCAGTCCTCATCTGGTCGCTCATGTCCTTTCACCGACGCACTCCTCACCACGTTTGCTTTGGTGGGGGGAGGGGGAGGCGTTCGAACCCTTGAGGATACAGGTTTGAGATGTGTCACGAGTGGGACTCTTGTCTGGGTAGAGACGACAGCCCTAAAGTCACAGTATATCCTATCAACAGAGAAATAGGTTCTATGTTTGCTGGTCAGACAGATGGGCTGCAAGAGAGGCCCGGGGCAAGACTTGGGCTCTGCCCTGGTGGTGTCCTTTGCTTGTGTCCCCAACCCTCTTGGCAGTCACGTGCTTATGTATCCAGCAGAGCTGGTCTATTTAAAGTTGGCAGCACTCCAGAGATTTATCTTGTCTTTGTCCTTGTCTGTGTGGCCTGTTTTCAAATGACCTTTGGTCTCATGGAGGACCGATGCATCAGGAGCCTTCCTTGTCTCCCTATTCCATGACCCTGTGGCTTCTGCCCCACCCCAGGCTGGTCTAGGTGTCCTCCCCTGGGACTTGGCTTTGCACAAGGCTCCAGGTCTAGATGTCTGCTCTCTCCTTAGAACAAGAGCTGTCTCCCTGCTGCTGTGTGAATGACAACTCAATGTCACCTTCCCCTTAGTTTGGGTGACCTAGTTTTTTAGCTGTGGGAGGAATGGATTCCTGGAACATTCCTCACGGAGGTTAATGGAGTGGCTTGTGGTTGTAAAACCGCCCATGACACGCCAGCCACCAGGGAGAGGGGCCGGGACACACAGGAAGGACTCCTGTTCCTATTGGTGGAGCTCAGCTCCTGCCAGCATCCCCACAGTTCCAAGAGTGTGGTGAGCCCTGGCTTCCATCACTTAGGAACCTGGCCCAAACCCACTGTAAAATGAAACATGCTTTTGTAAACAGCTTACTCTAGCGAAGGTGAAATCCCACCCCAGCCCTGGGGATGTTGCAGATTGCCCATGAGCTCCGTGAGTGCTGGCTTCAAATGGAGTTTCGTGGTCCAGTCAACTATTTCCTAGGCAAAGAGAAACAAAAAAAGAAAAAGCAGAAAATAAAACAAAATGCTGCCCCCAAGGTACTAACTTAACATTTGGCTTGGTGGCTGATGACTCTTATGGCTTCCAGAAGACCTGAGTTCCGTTCCCGCCTCTCACAAGCTGTTCACACCCACCTGTAACTCCAGGGGATCTATGATCCCCACAGGTACCACACACATACACCTGAAGAAAAGTAAAATAGTTCTTTAAAAAACCCCAAGGGAGGGCTGGAGAGATGGCTCAGAGGTTAAGAGCATTTGCCTGCTCTTCCAAAGGTCCTGAGTTCAATTCCCAGCAACCACATGGTGGCTCACAACCATCTGTAATGAGGTCTGGTGCCCTCCTTCTGGTCTATAGGCATACACACAGACAGAACATTGTATACATAATAAATAAATAAATATTTAAAAAAAAAAAAACCCAAGGGAGTCTGAGCAAAGCTCCTCCCACAGGGAGCCAGGTGGACCTAGTTGGGTTAAATAGTTGTTTATTTGTTTGAGACAAGAGTTTTACTCTGTAGTCCAGGCTGGCCTTGCCTCATCCTGTAGTCCAGGCTTGGCCTCCTGTGTGTTGAGATAGCTTTCCCCAAGTCCATCCCTTCCAGGGAGTTTATAAAAAGGACACAACCTTGAGCCAGCCTCAGCTAGCCTTCCCTGGGCCTTTTCCACCTCACCTGCGTGAGTGTGGCATCTCGGCAGGCATCCACTCTTCCAGTCCAGATGTCAGAGCACACATCTGCTCAGCTTCTGGAGGGGGCTCCTGGTGGCTACCAACCATCTGAGAAACTCCCAGCCGCAAGGAGTACTGTGGGACTCTGACTTCACCCAGCCTGCAGGGCAAGGTTGAGATGGCAAAGGAAAATTGCTCTGCTCCTGGGTTTCTAGAAGAAGCAATCAATCCCATCTCCAGGGAAGTCTTGCTTTGAGGGCCTGCGTTAGGGTCCTGTTCGCTCCTCGACAGGCCCTTCCACCAGGCAGAAGGGCCTCACTGATCCTCACCAATAGTTAGAAACTGGAAGCCCCTTTCTTCAGAAAAAAAAAAAGAAAGGTGGAAACGAAACCATGAATGATCTTAACATCAGAGCACTTCTGACCCCATGTGCCCATCAGTTCTCCCAAGTTTAAAGTGACCACGCCCATGCCAGCTGCATCCCTGCTCTGTCCTGTGATAACAACTTCCATTTGCTTCCAAGTTGTGCCTGGTCTGTCCCGAGGGGTGTGTTGACTCTCCGTGATCTGTAGGCTCTCTTGGCCCACAGTTTACTGTGTGCTTTTTTTTTCTATGAAAAATGATATATTTTACAACTTCCTATGTACAAAAGTTTATTGTAAGTTTTTGTGCTTTGCATGAATAGGGCCACACTGGTTGTTGCTATGGTTTCAATAAAACTGATTTGATTTCTAACACACGCCTATAGCGCGTCTTTTCCAGACCCGTCACTTGTGAATTCATTTGTCTTGTCCCTGCAAGTCCCAAGCAGCCGGTGAGACCCAGGTGGCATTGTGGGGGACCTCAGAGACATTACCGGAAAGTGTGATCAAGAGACTAGTGACCTAAGAAAATGTAGGTTCTGGAACACAGAGCAAGGACAGGAGTCAAGATGCTGTGTTTCCCATAAGCCCCAAGATTGCACTTTGAGCAAGTGCCGACCACTGGGCCCTTGTCAAGGACCTGTCAGTGAGAGCTACAGTGGCAGGATTGCAGACTGGGGGAGTGGTTTTAATGACAGAAGGGGGGGGCAGGCATCCAACATCAGATGTGGATAGGGCTGGCATCCTGGAGGCCTCTGGCCAGAGTTTATATCCTCTTGCTGTGCCCTCCACGGCAGGGCCTCTGTGTGTCCACCTGACCTCTCCCTCATCCCTGTAAGAACAAGTCATGTCATGACCCCACATCCCCACATGTCCCCTTCAAGGGTCAGAAATCCAACACAGGCGTCTAGACAGGATGCACTTAGTCCCAACCTGGCCTCTTCTTCAAAGCAAGAGCTCAGGGACAGCCCTGCAATACCTGGAGGGGGTGGCTTCTCCTCCAGGGACCCTGCCACCTAGCACTCTTCCTAAGCACCCATGCTGAGATCTGTTGTACATGGACTCTGCTCATCACAACAGACACAGCATCAGAAAGCTGGGGCGGTGCTGGGCCAGGAGTCCCCAATTCTCACTCTCTGCCCTTTATCGAGGACACTGGACTGGTGGCCTGAGCCCTACACAAGAAGAAAGGTGTGGAAGGCCCACCCCACTCCTACTTGTGGCATCTTTGTCAGAAAAGAGAGGGGTGTGAGCCTGCTTCTGGGGTTGATTGTTGTTTGATTATTTGTTTGTGCATAATTTTATTAGTTGTTTGATAAGTCGTTGATTGCTTGTTTGGCTATTTGGTTGTTTGGTGGGTTTGGCTGATTGGCTTGTGGTTGCTGGGTTGATTGGTTAGTAGATTGGTTTGTTAGTTATTTGTTAGTTTGTTTGATGGATTGATTGGTTGTCTGGTTGTTTGGCAACTTTATTGATTGGTTGGTGGGTTTGGATGACTGGTTAGTTGATTGACTGGCTGGTTGTTTGTTAATTTGGTTGGTTGGTTGTGTGTAGGGTCGGCTGATTGGTCAGTTGCTTGGCTGGTTGGTTGGTAGACTTACAGTACTGGAGATTGAACCCAGGACTCTGTGTGCCATACAGCATTTTCCCTCTGAGCCTCATCCCAATTCTCAGCTTTTATGTCCCTTTAAAATGGGTCACACGCCTCGTGGTGGTGGCACACGCCTTTAATCCCAGCATTCGGGAGGCAGAGGCAGGCAGATCTCTGTGAGTTCGAGGATCAGCCTGGTCTACAAGAGTTAGTTCCGGGACAGGCACCAAAAACTACAGAGAAACCCTGTCTCAAAAATCCAAAATAAATAAATAAATGAATAAATAAATAAATAAATAAGTCACACACCTGTTTCTAGAACCATAAGCAAGGGGTCAGAGGAGGGCTTCAGGGCCATGAAGGTCACCTTTACATACTTGGAAAGACTTGCCTCAGGTACTGGTTGGGAGCTGAGACTCAAATGCTCTACTTTGCGGGCCTACACTACTCAGTGCCCACCGTGGGACACTGGTCAGGCAGCTGCACCCCTCTGAGCATCTGTCACCATGCCAGCCAGAGGCAGCAACAATAGCGTCTTGTTGTCTATGGTCCTGTGTTTATGGGTGGAATGAGGCTAACATGAGTGGCCCTGAGCACATGGTATAGTGTGACAGCTGTCACACACAGGTGCTGATGTCTTTTTGCTGTGAGTGGCTGCTTCCAGTGAGTGTGTGTTCCAGGGAGACACTACACCAAGCTTACGAAGGAACCATCTTGTGAGTCCCATCCCTGTCAGAGGGATGTGGTAGCCAGAAAAGCCAGGCCCTGGTCCAGGTCCATTCTGTGGCTCCTCTTCCCCCTCCCCAGCCTGCCCCAGCACATTCACCACCCCTGTGGCACAAATGGCAGAGTGCCGGCGGGCAGCTGCGTGTGGCTCACGTGTCCTGGGCACCCTCGCATCTGAAGGTTGTGCTTTGCTTCTCCATTTATGCTGCCAGTGTGGCTTGTGGGATGTGCCTCTGCCGAGATTGCCAGCATCTGGTCACAGTAAGATACAGGGTGTGGATGCTGGGCAGGGACATCACAGAAGGGACGCTGTGTCCTCGTGTGTCACACCGGAGGCCCAGTTGGTGTCCATTCTGTTCACTTGTTAAGAGATCCCAGATGAGAAACTCCACTTCTGGGTTTGTTTTGTTTTTTTTATTTTGACAGTAATTCACTCGTTATGTAGCTCAGGCTTGCCTCCAGGTTGTTATGTAGCTCAGGCTAGCCTCCATCTTGTTATGGAGCTCAGGCTGGCTGGAACTCTCAGTTCCACATAGTGAGTTTGAGGTCAGCTTGGGGAATTTGAGACCCTATCTCAAAAAAGCAAAATGAAACTAACTAACTAACTAACTAACTAAATATTTTACATAGAGAAAGTGTCTTACTTAGGGTTTCTCTTGCTGTGAAGAGACACCATGACCATGACAACTCTTATAAAGGAAAATATTTAATGGAGGCAACAGTTTACAGTTTCAGAGGTTTAATCCATTATCATCATGGTGGGGAGTGAGGCAGCAGGGTTTATGGTAACTCACAGGCAGACATGGTGCTGTAACATGAAGGCCTGCTTGTTGGGGTTTCTGTCCTGCCCAGTTCCCACAGCCGGTAAGCCCCAAAGAAAATCACACAGAGGTCTACATAAGTTATGAACTGATTGGCCCATTAGCTCAGGCTTCTTATTAACTCTTATAACTTACATTAGCCCATTATTCTAGTATATGTTAGCCACATGGCTCAGTACCTTTTTCAGCGGAGTAGATCACATCCTGCTTCTTCAGTATCTGGGCAGGACTGTGGAGGAAGCTTCCTTCTTCCCAGAATACTCTTGTTCTCATTGCCCTAACTCTACTTCCTGTTTGGTTATCCTGCCTATACTTCCTGCCTGGCTACTGGCGAATCAGTGTTTATTTAAAACGTAATTGACAGAATACAGAATTGTCCCCCACCATGGTGCTGGAGGAGTTGAAATACCTACATCTTGACTCACAGGCAGCAGGAAGTGGTCTGTCTCACTGGGCGTGGCTGAACATATATAAGACCTCAAAGCCCCCACACACACAGTGACACACTTCCCCCAACAAGACCACACCTCCTAATAGTGACATTCCCTTTGAGGGGCCATTTTCCTTCAAACCACTACAGAAAGCTTGAGGCTGGGCATCCTGGTCTCTAGAAAACTCTCACTGATTTTAGCTTCTGTTGTCTCTTTCCTGAGACAAACATCTGGTCACGGCTACGGAACAGTGGCCTTTTCATAAAAGCAGGTTATTTTAGTTCACATGTTGTTATTGTTGTTGTATAAGAACCCTCGGAGGCCAGGCATGGTGGCTCAGAGGGTGTAGTCCCAGCACATGGGAGATGGAGGTAGGAAGATTTCTGTGGGCTTGAGACCAGCTGATCTACATTGTAAGACCCCGTGTCAAATAAATAAATAAATAAATAAATAAATAAATAAATAAATAAATAAATAAATCCCTGTGTGGTAGCCATAGCCGGAGCCTGGGTCCTCTGCATGGACACTCTGGTGTGAGTTTTCACGAGATGGCTGGTGGCTTCCTGATAGGGAGACTCGGTGGATATGGTTGGTCTCTTTCCAGAAATCAGGGGTCAGGGAGATGCTGGTCTTGTTGGTATCTGTGGTGGCTTGAATGATCCTGGCTCTCAAAGGCTCATCTATTTGAACACTTAGTCACTAGCGGAACTCTTCTAAAGGATTTAGGAGGTGTGGCCTTGTTGGAGGAAGTGTGTCACTGGGGGCGGGCTTTGAACTTCCAAAAGCAGTGCCAGACCAAGTCCTTCACTGTCTCCACCTGTGGGTCAGGATGTAGTTCTCAGCTACTTGTCCAGCATCATGCTTGCCAGGCTCCGCATGACGTCCCCTGCCATGATGATAACGAATTAACTCTCTGAAACTGTAAGTGAGCGCCCATTAAATGTTTATTTTAAATAAGAGTTGAAAAAATTAAAAAAAAAGGAAGGGAGTGGGAATTTGGATTGATACACACACACACACACACACACATATATATTTAAATATAATAAAAAAAAGAGTTGCGTGGTCATGGTGTCTTTTCTCAGCAACAGAACAGTGACTAAGACAACATCTAGCCGGGCGTTGGTTGCACAAGCCTTTAATCCCAGCACTCCGGAGGCAGAGGCAGGCGGATCTCTGTGAGTTTGAGGCCAGCCTGGTCTAGAAGAGCTAGTTCCAGGACAGGAACCAAAAAAAGCTACAGAGAAACCCTGTCTCAAAAATC